TATCTGGGGAGCTGGAAGATGAGAACTGGCGAAGTTGTAGTGCAACTTTAGTACGCGGAGTGTCTGGGGAGCTGGAAGATGAGAACTGGCGTCTTTGTAGTACAACTTTAGTACGCGGAGCAATCTGTGGAGGAAGCTGAGAACTGGCGACTTTGTAGTACAACTTTAGTACGCGGAGTATCTGGGGAGCTGGAAGATGAGAACTGGCGAAGTTGTAGTACAACTTTAGTACGCGGAGTATCTGGGGAGCTGGAAGATGAGAACTGGCGACTTTGTAGTACAACTTTAGTACGTGGAGCAAGCTGTGGAGCTGGAAGCTGAGAACTGGCGACTTTGTAGTACAACTTTAGTACGCGGATGAGTCATCTCTCGCGGCTGAGTCATCTCTCGCGGCTGCTCTGGCGCCCCTGCAGCTGAGTCATGTCTCCCGACCACCCGGCTCTCTTGAGAGGTTGACAAATTTTGGCTACTTTGCTTACTCATAAGTGGCTGCCACAAAAGAGTCATCGTGACGTTAGTATGTGTGTACTTCACCTTCATGACAAACGATGTTCGCTTGGAATACACGAGTCGCTTGTCATGATCGTGACGTCGTTTACTCTCAGGTCGCCCTGTTCGTGGAAACTTCAGTGTGAAATGTACGTTCCTCTTCAGTTCTATTTGAACCTCTTCAGCGTTGTACTTGCGCAACTAAGGTTGACGTTGCGCTGCCGTTGCATCGGCGCATCTACGCGCATCTACGTCTACGCCCCCTCACCTCTCTAAATTTACATTTTCACACGCTCGCATCCGCAGATCTACCTCTCCACCTCACCACACCCACACATCTGCGCATCTATATATCACATCTGTACATCCACACTGTCGCTCCTTCACATCTGTCCTGTCTTTCCTTCTTTCTTTCTTTCTTTCTTTCTTTCTTTCTACATATCTTTTCTCTCGTCTCTGTGCATTTACATCTTCGCACGCTCACATCGACAGATCTACCTCTCCACCCCCATACATCTACAGATCTATATCGCGCCTGCGCATCCACACTGTCACTCCTTCACATCCACCCTCTCTTTCTCTCTTTCTATACATCTGTTCGACTGTGCTGGACAATTGCATGTCTCGCTCTCGGGCCAGCCGTCGTCTAGTTTTCATCTCTCATCTCTCTTCCTTGTGCATGAGATAGCCCTTGGCCTGGGTACACCCTGATCTCTCTCTTCCAAAGTAATCTAACCCCAGGATAGCAATAGAAAGTTCAATGTACATATTCAGTTCAGACGTGTAGATACGACCACCTGACTGCAACCTTTTTCTGCAAGAGAGGCAGCCTTTGGGTTGCCACTCACCCACAACCCACAACCACTCGCCCAAGGGATTTTTAGAACTTTTGAGCGGGCGTCAGTAAATGGAGTACGGAGCGTCTTTTGTCCTCCTTTTCCCGTCGTCTCTTGTGCTCCTTTGACGCCGGGTGTGACTTCTTCCAGGAAACCCACATCCAAAACAGTCCTGGCGGAGCTGAACTTCCGCGTGGGAACGGCTGAGGAGCCCGGCGACGTGGTTTGTCGCCGCTTTGGCCGGAGCTTCCATGCCACTCCGTCGGAGCCTCTGTCGTCCAACAGAGCCTCGTCGGCCAGTGGGGTGCGTGGCACGAGCATCCTTCGTGCCACGCGACCATTCGGCCGCTGGGGGCCGGGCCGAACTTAGACTGATCAGAAGTCGGGACTTGGTTGATGCAAAGAGACACGCGTCTAGAAGTGCTTCGTTCCGTCCGTGCTTGACTCGGGCCTTTGCCCAGAAGCATGGCTGGGTCTGTGATGGGGTGCCCGGAGAGGTTGGTCTTCTAAACTGTGCTTGCCGCTTTGTGTCTCAGGAACTGACCAGAAGCTTTGGTTGTGTGGGAGACATCAGCCACGGAACGAGGATTTATGGATGACAACCATCCATGTGGGTACAGCCTACAAGGAGTGTGGGCAGCAAGGGCAATTGCACTGTACCCTATCATCGTAAGGCATCGTTTTGGGACTTGGTGTTGTGAGAGAAGAGAACCTCTGGACGAGCTCGGTGTTTCATTTTTTCCAGCAACTGAAAGATCACCCTTCAACCTGATGCACAGATAGAGCGGGACTGCCCAAACCGAACGCAGGAGTGCATGCCGTGGCTGCGTGTGGATGCCTCCTGGCAACACGCCGGCTTGGGGAATTCACGGACATGATGTGTCTTCCACTACTGTAATTCGGCCATGGGATGAAGGCCATAGGATCCGGAGTCCTTCTGTCGCAACGCCAAACGATTTCACCAGCTTAGGTCAACTTTGTGAAGATCCACACAGGAGGACAACGTTTGAAAGGGATCGTCCCGGACTTTGATACCCTACTCTTCTGCCAGCACAAGCGGCTCAGCGCCTATGAAGAAGACCGATGCTTGGATTGGCTTGTGGGAGGTTCAGGTGGAGTGCTTTGGGCTTGGAAGCCTTGTGCGCTCATAACATGCAATAGGATGCAATAAGGCAAGGCTATCTGATATCTCAAATGTTTTGGGATCGTATGGCATGAGAGAGTTCGCGACTCTGGCAAGTGCGTATGATCTTGACACCCTCCAATGTCTCTATCCAAATTGTACTTAATCCCAAAGCTGTTGGTTCGGATGTGAGTTCCAACCAAGCTGGATGAAAGAACATGAAAGAAAAGCAACTGGCATTGGCATACTTTTGGAACCCGACCTTGGGCCTCGGAAAGCCTGCGTTTCGTTTCGCCAAAACCCACCGCGTCTCGTCGTGTTGTTTGTCATTGTTCCTTCCCCCGGCCTTCCCCGCCTTCTCTCCCAGGCCGGAAGATGCAGGGCACCTCGCCGCTCCCGGGCGAGATGAGCTTTCCGACGAAGCTGCTGCCCGTGGGGCAAGACACGGGGAACGCCACGCGGCGTCACGTCTTCGTGGTGGGTCCCGAGGGCTCCTCCACGCGCTTCTGGACCATGCTGATGGGTGCGGGGTTGGGGATGGACATTGCAAAGCTGGGGAATCAGGACCGTGGGAGACAGACCGTGGGTGACATGGCCTTCGGAACAATGTTCTTCGCACTTGAGTAGGTGGAAATGAAAAGGGGTGATAAGGAGATGTGGGGATGTGCTGATGAGAACAAGATTCGATTGATTTTGATGCTTGGACGCATTTACATATTTGCAATCAACCATCAACACAGGAGGGAGGAACGAATCACATCATCAACAACCAAGCGGCCCTCTTTCACGTGTCCTTGCCCTTCGGCACGACCTGTGAGGGTCAGGCGGTGCAAACCCAGCCAGTGCTTTTGGACTTCGGCGGAGAGTGGAAAGCCTATGAAAGCTCCTCAAATGAAACCGAGCCCGTTCGCATGTCTTTTGACCTGCTCCTTTACCACATCGATCCTCTGGAAGTGGTGAAAAATCATCACCTGAGAGGTGACCAAGTGACGATGGTTGTGGTCATTCGCGATCCACGAGCCTGCTTAGCCGACAAAGTGCTGAATCATTGCAAGAAACCACATGTCGGCTGCTCGGCTGCACTAGCACCCTTGAGCACATGCATTTGGACATTTCATGCCTGTTTCGTATGGATTGGCACACGTTTGGAATACCTTCCAATTTTAAACATACACTTTCCACCTTGAGTGGGAACGGGGTGGCCGCGATAAGACATGGCACCAAAGCTTGTGTGCTTTCGGTGGATCTTGCATCAAGCCTCGCAACAACTTGGACCTTCTTCCCCGCCAGGTCGCGACTTGATAGCCTAGGTCGCGAAGAACAGAAGAAAGCCTACGATCTCATGCTCAAGGCAGCACAGAGCGAAGAGAAGGATGTGGTTGTGGTGTGCTACGAGGAGATGCTCCAGAAAGGGGCAGACGCTTGGCTTAGCTTCAGTGACCTCAGTATGGTGCAAAGTCGAATTTCGGCAGACCGTGAGACATGGGGTGTGCAAAGGGCTTCCCAAATGTATCGACAGTTTCTTCCCTCCAAAAGGGCCAGTGGGTTTTGACCCACACTCTTCTTTTAGCCACGTGAGCCTTTCCTGCCTACAATCAAGGCCTGCCTGCGTATTTTTGAAAGAGGGGAGCCATCATTTCTTGCACTTGGATGTAATTCGTCAGAGGATGTCCTTGCCTTGCAAGTCCTGCGGTGAAGGCATCACCGCAGATCATAGAAGTATGTACTGTAGTTCTGATTGCCGGATCTTCGCTGGATCTTCGGTGAGGACTATGTGCACCAGAAGCTGGCCCTGATGGGCGTGATGAATTCCGAGAACTTCGATCTGGATGACGGCCACTGATCACGAACTGCTCTAAGACTACAGCAAACAAACATCCCCACACTCATCACATCAAAACACTAGGACAATTTGTGGCTAGTCCTTCAGTGCTATGATTTATGATGTTTTTTACATACATGGTTTAGTCATGTTTCAAGAAGCAATTGCCTGCGCAGCTTTTCCAGGCAATGCCAAGTATGACCTCGAAGGGCACGACTGCGGGCGTGACATGTTGGCCTATGCGCAACTCTGCCCAAACACCGCGCTGGCCAGAGAAGTGAATGCATCCTGCTGAGCGACGGGCGGTCGCTCGGACGGGAGGGGGCGATCGCAGCGCGGGAGGGACGTTGAATCGGATGCATTCGAAAGAGTCGATCGCTCCAGGTATTTGGACAGTTGGAGTGGAGCCGGCACTTCGGCATGAGTGTTTGTGGGATGACCGGCACCTAATTTTGGTCTGGCACACCAGAGGCCCAACAGTGGCACAAAGGCTTGACAGAAGTGCAGGCCTTCTGCCAGAGAGTCTTGATCAGTCTCTGATTTGAAAAGACTTCCACGTGTTTGTGTGGACTGTTTGCAGTTGGAGAGCTGCTTCGCAGCTCCTCGAATGCAATTGCGAAGGAGTTCGTGCGTTCATGAGCCGACTTTCACCAACTTGTCCGAGATGGGATGCAGTGGGTACACCATGATACATTTGGCACCGTCGCGTGGCCCCATGGCTGCGCTGCAGGTCACACACAGTGTTCCTGATTCACATGGAGTCGCGCACTCGGATGGAGAGGCCGCGTGCGGTTTGTGCGTCAAGTTGCTGACTGCAGGGATCTGCAGGGAAATGTCACCGTTTGGACCAGTTGTTTCATTCTTGGTTCTCACTGCTTTTGGCGAAATGCCGCCAAATGGCTGGCGAGGTGTGAGCCAAATGGCTGGCCCTTGGAAATAGACTGGCAAATCTGGGGGGTTCCAAGTTCCAAGTTCGTCTCGTTCGACTCGTTTGAGTCCCCATCCATCAGCAGTTTTGTGGGAGCAGTTTGGAAGCCTACAGCAACTAGCCATGTGCAAGGGATGTGGGCCGGCTTTTGTGCAGATCATTTGGGCATATTTGGGTTGTTGACTGTTTGGGACGTCGATGATTTCGGGAGCATCAACAGCCACAGAGGGCGCGCAGTCTGTCCAAAACGACGGTGGGCTCCCATGGACGGCTTGGTCGGGCCAAGCCAGCCCCGCCAGGTGTGAGCTTTGCTGTTTGAGTTTGGTTGATTTGGCCGCCTGGGATGGCGAGGAGCGGAACCTGCGGAATCTGAATGGGGCGATGGAAACGGGTGAAACATGGTGAACTTCAATCTAAACACTCAGATGCTGGATGCTGAATGCCGGACCCTTAGGTCACTAGTGGATGTACGTCGGTAGCACGATGCAGCCATATGAAATCTGTCATGTGGGCTTTAGCAACGTCGGTAGCATCGGTTGCGGCAACTCCTTTTTTTTTGGAGCTTGTTGGCTTGCAGAGGCATTCCGTTCGCCCAGTCTGAGGTTGTGAAGCCTATATAGTCCCTCCCACCGAAAACATGTGATACATGTGACAGATCACTTTGGAAATCGCGGAGAGGCAAGCTAAGGACAGTATCAAGTCTTTTCGCCCATGTGGGGCCCCGCTCTTGGAAGTAAAGTGGTCCCCGCAGTTCGAACAGCTGGTGGCAAAGCTGGAGGGGTTTCGACTGTGCTGAATTTTGTTCGATCTATAATTTGGGAACTCCCATCAGGCACCATCAGGCTCCCGCTGTCGTCTTCTGCCCTGACGCTGAAGCCCCCACATGAAAGACCGAAACAGAGAAGCACGCTGGTCCAGGACATCGGGGACTCCACGAGTCGCGGCTTGGCGTCGAATCCCGAACCGCGAGCTGCGGTGGGTGGGCGGTGAATTTCACAAAAAGATGATGTTCATTGTGGAATCAGTGAATTCAATGCCGTGTTTTTTTCCCCTCAACTTGGGCAGGACAAGTATAGTATTTAATTGTATTTACTTCATCACGTGCATGCATCCAATGGCCCAATAGTTTTTGGTTTCGAGGCAACTCCAAACAGTGTGTTTGATCATCTCCACCCTGCACCTCCATCTCCAACCCTGCCCCGCCCACACCGCGTCATGGAACGCGAATCGGTCCAGTTCAGTCCACCACCGTTTTTGCGCCGGGCGAAGGCTCCTTCCTTGCTCTGTCGGCGACGCTCCGCCGCGAGCGTTCGCCCTCGCGCGCGGAGCCCCTGACCCAACTGCTGCGGCGGCCGCTGGAGGCCTCAGCCCAGGTGGTCAGAGCCCCAGGCGTGGATGGTGGCAGACGGGGGAGGATGGAGGATGGTGTTGTTGCCTTTCTTGCGGGGCTGTTGGGCTTGTCAGTGTCGGATAAGAACCCCAAGACGAAACCTTCAACTTTCCAAAAGTTTGGGTTGAATCTTGGACATGAGAGCTTAGAGAGGTGCATCCTCCGCAGCTGTTCAAAGAGGGCTCTAAGTGGCCGAAGAGGCCGAGAGCCTCATGCCTCTGCCGGAGCTGATTGAGATTGTCCCTTTCTCCAAGGAGCAGCTGCGAAGCTTCCAATGGCTTCTTGGACCGAAGTCTTACAGTAAGCCTCGGGGTCCACGTGGTGGCACCATGGCGACTGGCCAGCGGCTAGTGTGGCCTTCACGTGTGGCCCCGCACACCGCTCTGCACAGGGTGTGCAGAAGTGAAGTGCATGTTCTTCGGTTTCAGCTGCATGTCAGTTTCAGGGAGGGGAAGAGCAGCACCGGCATGCCAAATCGTTTACAAATCAAGAACATTTTCATGAACAGATAATGGGCACCTAAGAGGACCAAAAGGAGGTTGTTGAGACTTCGCTCAAGTTCGGACCTGTTCGGAGGAAGGAGCGCCATCAAGGATCATCAAACCATGTTTAAAAAGGCTTCTTTTCCAGTTGGACCAGGTTGGCAGGCCATCGGCACAATGTCTACTCGCTCGTTGCAGATGTACCATTTCTCTAGTTTTCAAAGGTTTTCCACTTGAAGGAGGACATCACACCCTCATCACACTGATGGCAACTCATCCCATCCTTGTTTTTGGACTTGCCTTACCGTATTACCCATCCTAGCCCCACAGATCCCCCGTGGTGGGATAGGTAGGGGCTCCGGCCATTGGTTTGACCCACTGAATCAGGAAGAAGGCGGAGATCATGGTGCCTGGCTCCAAAAGCGCCTTGGTGGAGGCGTCGTGCGCTGAGGTGAGCGATGTTTAAGAAAGGATTGAAAGGATGCACCATTTGCCGAGTTGGCTTTCTTTCAGTAAATGCCTGACCAAGCACGTCAATAGAATCCATATATTACATGAAAAAGCATTGCATCATCTTTGCTTCATTCCTCTCCTGGGCCGGACGAACCTCGCTGAGGCATTACGAACCGCGCAGCTTGACGCATCTGTGGAGTCGGAGTTGGATCGTCTTGGAGTCTCCGCTTCGGCTTGGTGTGCGGTTGGGTGTGTGGCTGTGGTCACTTGCTTGGCTCAGGCGGCTGCATCCCACAGAAGCTCGCTAGTAAAGAGAGTGGTGGGTTCGAACACATGATGTCCCTCAAGTGTGCTTGGCCCACTGTGTGGTCTTCGTCTCCCACCTGCGAACCGGTGTCAGGAGCAATCCACAATCGGTTCGTGTGGTTATGTAGTGGTGTTTTAGCGACATGTCGTCGCGGGGCAGTCGCGAGGAATGTGCAGATCATTTTTTGCAACGGGCGTAACGGGGCTGGCGGCCCTGGCGGCCCTGCTCCTGAGGCCATTGTGCTGGCTGCTTTGGGCCGAGGTGAAGTCACGTGGCCAGAACATGGTGAAGTCCGGTGCCGTGCACTTGATAGATCGCGCCCACCTAAGTGAAGAGATTGACGGCTAGACCAGGGGGCTTTGTTCAAAGGAGCATGGGGGTCTTCTTGCCTATGAGGGTTTGGACATTACACTGGTGACACGCACTGACCTGCCATACCTGTCTCCATGATTCAAGGGGGCTCAGGGCAACCGACGATGGGCAAAATCGGATACATTCGGATACCCGGGTACAAAGGTTCCGCCACCGAGATGGTGATCAGCTACCACATTCTGATGTTTACTTTATCCTGCCAAAAGGTTCAGGAAACAAAGCACAGACAGATATATATATATATAAGTTGTAAGTAGCTCAGGGAGAGAGCTGTGCCATAGAAATGGCGGAAAGCACGGAGAAATCCAGTATCCGATACAGAACGTTTTGTAAAATAATATTCTATTCAAGGATGAATCCAATGAGACAACATGGGAATTTAACAATAGAACTACGTTCCACGAGAACGCATCCAGTCCAAGAAGATTTCATAGGTTGTGCTTTTCAAGCAGGCCACGCGAGCTGCTGACTACCTGGTATCATAATTCTGTCCGCAAACAGAGCAACCTAACGCGGTTGGTTTTGGACAGAACAAATCATGAAACCCAGTCCATGTGAGTCTCCATCAGGGGGTTGTGGCAGGAAGAACTACAAACCATAGACAACCCCATGACTCAGGAGAAACCAGACCCTTTTTGTCAGGGCGGCTGCAGACCTCCGGGCTCTCAGGTCACCCTGAAAGGCGCCCTTTGGAGTGAAGACACCGAGGCCATGGTCGACTGCATGAAGCGTCTCTTGGCTCAGCAAGAAGACCAGACCGCGGGGGCAAATCCCACAGTTTTCCATTTGAAAGATGGGATGATGGGATGATCAGACTGACAAGGCCACACAATTTGGCTTTCCAAATTCTTTTGTGGGGAGTCTTTGTGAAGTTCCAAGGGCCTTAGCGGAAAGCTCCCAAGCATCATTTGGACTTTCCGAAACTGATTCATTCACGGCAAGGATTTTTGCCTGCAACGCCTTGTAACAGACCATCCCGACTGTGGACATGGGCACTGAGGCTTAGGCATCAAGGTGGATGTGACGGTGGATCCCCAGCTGGATGCGAACCGCCTCATCACCATCCAAGGTCGACGAGATGTGCACCGTTTTCAAAGTCCTTTTTAGATGTGCAGGGAGGTTTTGTGAAGAACATCTAGGGTTGAGACGAGGCCAGCTACGAGGATATCTGTAAAGCGACAAGTCGTGGTAATGTCATGGTCGATCTTAGATCTTGTATTCTTGTACTTCTTCGTGGCTTCCATTAGGCAAATTCCATCCAGCACCACACTAAAACGCGTGAACACCTGGGTCATTGGATTCCTCCAAGCTTTGCATCATGAAAGAGATCAAAAGGTGTGAACCAACTTTGCCGGAACGGTATACATGTTTACACTATATATATATACACAAAGTACTTACCATCCATGCTTCCGTCCACCAAGTATGATCGATCCATCCATGCAGCATGATCCACTCACTGGCTGATGGGAGTCTCGATGCAGGCTGTAATGGAGAGCTTCCAAAGGCCGGTACGGAGGAGGCGCCTTTGGAGCTCTTCGTGGCCAATGCTGGCACCGCAGCCCGCTTCCTCTCAGCAGCTCGGGCCGTTTTCTTCTCCGTCACTTTTAATGTGCCAAAACCACAAAGCCGCAGACAAATCGGGGGTATTTAACCACAAAGTCCATATTTCCTCTTGAATTGTTGGGTTAGTTCTACTTATATAATATATATTTGAGAAGGCGTTTGGACACGTTTCGCCAGAATTGAAACTGCTAGTTGCTTTTTGGACCATCAGAGAGGGACACAGTGGACACAGGGTCTCTATTCCGCACCTAAACTCCTGATCTTGACTCTCCGTGTGAGAATTGTAGGAGGGGCAACAGGAAAGGATGCATCTTTTGCTTATATACTGGGAACTTTGTTCGATTCATTCTATTTTGGACATTGTAGATGCGTCTCACCTCAGTGTTTGTCCATTTGCCGGCTGTCTCAACCAGTCCTTGACGCTGCTTTGCTTTCGCATGATTGCGCCATGTCATCACCCCGAGCATCCAGCGAACTGCCAAACAGATAAGTTGAGGCCATGGTTTGCTTGGGGAAGGGCGTGTATCGCATCTCGGGCGTGCCCCGCATGCACGAGCGCCCACAAAAGGTCTCGTGGCCGCAAGATTTGAACAATCTTTGGGATGGATGTTGTTGTTTGCTTGCCCTTTCTTTCTCCTCAGCCTGGGGGGAGCTGTTGGGGAGCTTTTCTGCGGAGGGGTCAGAGCTGGTCATCGGCACAGGCCAATCAGTTTGTGACCACAAGCTTTTTTTCTACTCTTGTATTGCCAGAGCTTTTCGCGCTTGACTTCTTCTTCTTCTTGATGATCTTGGGAGGCCAAGTCCCTTCAACACGTGGGGTTTTGACCTCTCCAGTTAGCCTCCAAACCTGAGGAGCTGATCGAAGCGCTTCGAAAGCTGGGATACCGCGTGGCTGCTTGGCCTGGGATCGAGTGGGTGAGAAGAATTGGGCTCTTCGAAGGAGCTTTTGGTGCTCCAACAGCAGGGGACCAAAAGAGCACTTCCCAGTAGGGATAAGATAGATTTGCTTTACCTGCTGCGGGCAATGTGGCTATGTCAGTTCTTTGGGGACTTCCTCGGCCTTTTGAGTCTGTAGTTGGCGACAATACTAACAAATATATATATATATATATTATAGTTACCATTATAGTTATAATGTGTTACAGTTATATGCTGATAGTGGTGCCCAAGCACATAGAACGTTCCCTTTATCGTTGTCTGTCTGTGTTGCTCATCATGTTTGCTTATTAGCAGTGCAAACAGGCAGAGAACATACATACATTCCTTGGATTTTGAGGTATGTATATATGTCGTTTCTCTGGGAAACGTGCATACCTCCAAATCCCACACTTACAAGTACGCATGCTATACAAACAAACAATCAAACATAAATGCATGCATGGATAGATAGATGGATTACATTACATTACATTACAGTACAGTACAGTACATTAAGTAAGTGTTCCATTAGGTATTACATTACATTACATACATACCTTGGAGTTTGAGGTATGTACAGACAGACAACCAGCCAGCCAGTGAGGCAGGCAGTGGTAGATGGTTACATCCGTGAACCCTGTGCCACTGTGGGGGACGACGGGCAAGATGAACATGGACGGCATGGAAGACCGGACATTTGCAGGCACATGACATAGCTTCCAAATAGTGCTTGGCTTTCCCCACTTCCAAGGACACTCCAAACAACAAGCTGCCAGCCGTGTTCTTCGGGAAGGGTCCCATCTCTGGCTCTGTGACGGTGAGTGTCGAGGAGGGGTGGGCGTGCTACCGGGTTCAGGTCGACCGAAGAGCAGGCTGACGTGGTTGCTGCTATCGCCACATCACTTCATCAATCTTAGTGCTTAATTAGTCCTAAGCATTATCATGTTGTTATATCTATATATATCTATATATATATATATGTGTGTGTGTGTATGTAATATATAAAATATAGTTGTACAACTTAGCGACCTAGGGTTTTCCCGACCTCACCGGCACTGAAGAGCGCCCGTGGCGCTTCTTCGTCCACAAGGAGAGTTCCCAATTCGCCAGCGCCTTGCTGCTCTCCAGCCGCGCGGGCCAGTGGGATGTTTCCATCCCTGCTGGTGCCAATCCCGATGAGCTGCCTTATGTGGAGAAATGGCCGCACTTAGTCATGCAGCTACTGGTCCAACCCCTGCAACACTGACATCTTCTGAAATGCTGAAAAGGGTCGTGGCACATCGGTGCAGGACATGGGGATATCAGTGCCTCAAGATCTGGAGAACGAACTAGGCATGAAGGCCCCCAATGATCAACACTCAACCATGACTAGCCCACTTAGTTAAAGGACCACCTAATGACATGGATCAATTCATTGATCTGGAGAACACATGGGTTCTGATTGAGCCATTGAGCCTACAGTTTCATTCAGGAGATGACCAGGGAGCTCGTGAAAGCTTTTCCGCACGATGGAGGACGATTTGGATGGGTTGAGGGCGAGAGGCCTGTTGGAAAGAACGGGTCCATAGACGTCGTGAAGAATGGTCTGGTCGTTGACCTCGATTTGACCGATGTGTCTCGGTCTCGACCTAGTTATGACCTAAACCGCCTAAACCTAAAAAAAACTCCTGGTTCGGCTTCGGATCGCCAAGGGTGGGCGACGGACTCTTGCCACGCTGCTTCAGCCGCTTGAGGAGAATTCCAAATCGAGGCTGATGCCTCAAGTGCCAGCTACTTCCATGCAGTGAAGCCTGGCTGCGCCCGGTGTGATGCACCAGGTGGGTGGAGGTGGAGGTGCGTTGCGACTCACCTGCCGCAACATGCATAGACTGAGTGAGAGTCAGCAAGCAACCTAGGATAACTAGTAACTAGTACTAGGGATTTGTGGCTTTCTTTTTTCTACAAGCTGAGTGCATGTCTTCTTTTCCAGCCCCCCCTCCCCAGTGGCCCAGGAACGCGCTCTTCGGGAAGATCCAGCCGGTGAACGTTTTGGCGTGTCAGCCTCCCAAGTCCCAGGGCGGCACCGGCTGGCAGATTGACGCGGAATTCCCCAGGCCGCCTACCCTACTCTCGCCGTCCGTTTGCGCCGTCCGGGCGAGACCGAGACGTGGGCGAACACGAAAACACGCGATTTGGACCTCAAGATGATCTGAGGATCTGGATCTATGTTTGGTGGGGCTCCAACTGTTGGGTATCTGTGTTTGAGCGGCATGTTGGGTTGGTGGGTCAGGTTGGCTCCTTTGAACGAGAACATGTACAGCGCTCGGCAGCAGATTGGAGAGTGCTGGAAAGGCACTAAAGGGATGTCGGAGTCTCGTTTAACTTTGCTGTTGTGGGCTGTTCTGATTCAATGTGCGCATTTGAGCATCAAGATGGGTCAAGTCGCGCATCGCTGGCGCATCCAGCAAAAAGCCACCACCAGTAGTGCTCAGAGAGTACTGAGGGCCACAGTTGCTTCGCGGACAGGTTTTTTCTACTTTGTCTCCCGCTGCCTGCTGGGGCATGAGAACATCCACGACCCATACATCATCTCCAGGAAGAGACTTGGTGAGTTCGAGCCAGCTCCAAAACTGGAGGCCAGTGAGGCCAGCCCAGTGTCCCCAGTTGCTTTCTTGACCTTAGCTGAGCTGAGGACTCATTTGGGCGACTCCATTATGACGGCCATTACCATCAGTGGCCTGGCGGATGGTCCATATGCCTTCGTCCAGCTGGGGGTGCTTCGAAAGCAGGAGTGTGAACGCGTCAAGGCCTTGCACGAGGAGTTGAAAAAGTGCAACTTCCGCGTCGTCGAGAGTGGTGATACTCTGGAGGTGCTTCCCATCCGGAACGAGGCCCAGCCAGGCCACGCACGGATCGCCACCTACCACGATCACCGCATGGCCATGTGTTTTGCCACGCTGGGCCTGGCGGTGCCCGGCTTGAAGATCGAGGATCCCAGCTGCGTGCGGAAGACGGTGCCGTCCTTCTTCCAGATCCTGGCGGCGCCGCCGCCCAATGGTTTAGGAGTCTCTTGCCTTAAGCTGTTGTTTGACGCATCTAATTTGTATCTATTTCTCACCTGGCCTCCTGATACCTTTTGTATACCGATGTATGCTATTTTTTTATTGTTAATTGACAAAATAAAGGTAGCAGTGGTGAAAGTGAGAAGAAGAAGGAAGAAGGAAGAAGGAAGAAAGAAGCAGGGAGAAGAAAGAAGGGAGAAGAAGGAAGAAGAAGGAAGGAATAATAACTAGCAGGTTCCTCTTTTCACCTGCTCTGTTTGTGTAGCCTTTGCTATCGTTTTCTCTCGCGCAGCCCGCCACTTGGCACACGCCTTTGTATAAGGTGGAGATTTGGGAGTGCGACCCCAAAAGTGGGGAACGCCTTCGCCGTCTCCAAGATCCTAAAGATCTTGAGCCGCGGAAGTGAGACATTTCGGAGCGCGCCAGAGAGAAAGCGTGGAAGACAGCCTGGGCCGGGAGGCGAGACTGAAGACCTGAAAGGCCGTGAAGCAGATTAGAATCTGATTAGAAGTATTTATACCAGGATTGGCGGAGTGCTTTTAGCCTCGCATCGATTTTCAATATGCCAAGTCGTCGCAGAAGAATGTCCGAAAAAAGCTCCCGGCTCGGGCCTGATTTTTTTGGCCCGCCACCTCCTGGCAGCAGCTCGCAAGCAAGCAACCGTACATAGTTGGCCAGTTTTTCCTGCGTGCGTCACGATGTCCAGGATAGAGTGCAGCACTGAGGTGTCATGGATAGTAGTGGTAGATAGATGTAGATAGTGTTCAGAAAGCGATACATATCGATACATATATATATATACATATATATATATATCGTCGGTGACTAGTGATGTTCACCAGGAGGGGACCAGCCTTGTGGTCGAATATGACAGAGTGGGACTTGGTACAGCAATGTCAATGCGTGAGATTGCAGGAGGGTTTCTCGTCAATGTTCACACATTTGGGTTTGACGCCAAGAGCCATTGAGCATTTGCAGTTATATATTGGCCTCTACAAAGTGCCTATGAGGATTGTAGTTGCAGCAGGCAATATGAATGTGATGTTTGGGCAGGCAGCTCCAGAGCAAGCCAACAGGGGCATGGCACCTTGCACAGAAGGATCAAAAGACTAGTGACTAGATGTTAGCCGTTTATGTAGGGGACATCGGAGCGCTGCTCCTGTGGTTCCTTCCAAAGTTTCTGAAGGACCGATTTTGTCGCTTTTCCCGGGAAAAAAAGATTGCTGCCTTGTGTGCGATGGGTTTGGATGCACGGTCAGCCTCTACGAGAGGCTTACGAGAGTTCGTCAGCATCCAAGCCCCACCAGGCAGCTTTGTTTGGATTCAGTTTGAGCTAGCGGTGTGTGGCTTCGCGCTCGACAAGGTTCTCATCCACAGTGGTCTTGATATTGCTTTTGTCAGTAATCTTCATCTCTACTCAACACCCTGGGGGAAGAACAAGAAAAGCACCGGCCTTCCAATGTTTGACCAGTCTGAGGTCATCATTTGCGCCATCTCTGCTGGCACCGAGAGCTTCGAGCAGAGCCGCCGTGTGCTGGAGTTTTTCAGCCCGAGAGAGGAGCAGGTTCAGCGCCGAGCGCTGCTGAAACGCCGCAGCGGGGATGGGAGGAAATGGTTCAGAGTGGCGGACAAGTTGTAAGACCCACCCGTTGAGAAGACCGTCGCCGTAGCACGCAGATGCACGCTGTTTTTTCATGACTTTCTGAAATTCACTGGTTCAGAGCATGGCACGTGATTGGACAAACCTATAATTGTGTAGACGACTTTAGAATCCCTGCACGAAGAACCTCTAGTCTACAAAGTCGTATGAAATCAGGGGATGTGTACTAGAATGAGGAGGGGTTCTATAGAGATAAAAAATGCTATAAAACCAAAATGAATTTTTAAGACATAGAAACAATCAATTTTGGGAAAGGCCAATGATGTGTTCAGTATGAAAACGGTTTGTGCAACACGGGAACTGAATCTATGGAAAACGGATGAACACGGTTTCTTTGTAATCATGCGACCTGCCTAAAAAGAGCTGAATCCTAAATTTTGTAAGGCAGCATTTTATAGAAATGATGGTCACGAAGGATATCAAATAGATTCTACCGAAAGCAGAAGTGGCTTGTGGAATTGAAACCTTTAGGCCGGCCTACAGGTTTTATAGAGAGCTGAAATTTGGAGGCCCGAAACCACATCGGAAACAAGAAAATATCAGAGACAGTAAAGGGACAATTTATCGGAAACCTATCGACCAGAGCTATCGGAAACTTCTCAGGTAGCACAGGTTCCCAGCCGAGTGCCAGCAATCCCTCTTCTGAGTGATCAGTGCTTTCTATAAAATCAGTCCTTCAGGGTGGCACAACTTTAACTTTGTCCAGGCTGATTATTGGTTTCATGGCTTGAGAGTTGATTTTATAGTGCTATAGAGTCTATTTTATTTTGGGTAGCTTCTCCCAAGTAGGTGCCCCCAGATCTTCCACGAGTGACAACTTATCCAGGCATGTCATTTTTGGGGTTTTATCATGTGTAAATCAAAACCAGTTTTCTCTACAAACTTGGGCCCGCATTCTCTACACTCACATGAAACTCACACCCGGATAGTTTATATAGATGGAGATGGTGACAGGTACCGGGTAGGAACATCACTGTATCGGAAATTATTGTAGTTTTTGTTCTCATGGCCATTGACTTGGAAAGAGGCTCATTTGCCAACACCTCTGATGATAGGGGCAAGCGGTTTGTTTAGGGGTTTGGTCCTTTAGTGGGAATTTTTATCGCCTGGATGCCCGGCTCCCAGAGGTAAGAGCAGAAGGGTTAGAAAGTTGGAGCCTCTTTTTACTGTAAGGCACATTTCTGGGATGCCCCTTGTCACTCCATTTGTTTGTCAGGGGTCACTCCTAAACGAACTTGCTTGGACTTTCACATCTTTCACCGTCCACCTGACGAGCGCCGCGAAGGAGCGCACTCAAACTTTGACACATGTGCAGGAGGAAGTTCAGGCCTCGTACAAGGGCGGGCCACGCTTGAATCCCCAAATCAAACCTATTCGGGGTCCGTTCGTTCCTGTTTTGCAAAGCCTGGAAGACTTCTGACAGTAATGAGATGTATACTGCCCGGTGATGAAATAGGAGCCTTTGGACATACGGCAGCCGTATGTCCGAAGACTCCTGTCATTTCATGACCGAGTAGGAATACGATGGAATACGGCAAAATCACATTTCCCATAAACAATAATCCATTGCTCTGTAATTAATAGTTACAGTTAAACCACCTCTTCAGTTTTCCCACCACCTGGGGCATGGCAATTGCCTCCGCCAGGCCCTGCGTGCTGCTCATGAAGGCCATGCACAACTGGAGGTGTCCCTGGCCGGGGTTTCGAGCATGGGCTTCGAACATTTTGCAACCAAATGGTCCCGGTGACTGCCAGGGTGGCTTGTGAGATCATGAGATCGTTCTCGCAAAGCAACTTAACAACCACTACTCTTTTTGGCACCCAGAAGAAGCGTTGAGTCTCTTGGTAGATGGTGCGACTGCCAGGGGAAGGTCTGCGATCTCGAGATGGAGACACAGGAGCTGAGGCAGGGCGGCAGGGTTTAGTCCTCTTGCACTTGAGGGGACCGACTCTCAAACACGGCTGGGGTGGGGGAATCACGAGTATCTCTTGCCATCGGAAGAAAACCCCTTGAGTTGATCCAGCATCATGGACACAAGCAGGATCAGACAGTTATCTATATACGGTATTTTCCTTGTTGCGACTATTTTTGAGAGAGGCAGAGGATCTAAGCCTACCTCTCCAAGACTGCAAGTACTTGAGTGTGGTAGGGCTTGGCGTATGGGAAGTACTATGAGGTAGGTATGCAGTTATACACCCTTTTCAGCGGGTGTCTCCTTACTCGATTCTGGAGGGCCGTCGTTCAAACCGTCGGCGCACCCTTCAACAGCTCACATGGCCTTAGGGAGTCCCATGTGACACGTGCCGCGTCACCAGTGCTTGCGTCGCTTGGACAGCGTAATGGGTGGCCGTGCCTGCGGGTCACCCGTTGCGGAATCGCAGGTTGTCCTTGCGGATGGAACAGGACGCCGCGCTGACGCGGCAGAGCGAACTGGAGGAGCGCTTGCGGAAGACAGAGGCACAGTTGGACGCACTGGTGCAGTGGAAGGCTGGGAAAGTGATAACGGAGGAAGGGAGCCTTGTGACGATCAGGAATCAGGACCTGGGAGTGGAATGAATTGGAATGAAGCATCAGTCGAGGCACGAAACTTCACAGTCGAGGCACGAGGCCTTTTTGAGAGGATCATTTTCCTCTATCGTTTTCCTCATCGCAAATGTGGACTTCAGATCGCAAATGCATGGCAAGCGTGAGCCCCTTCGACCAAGATTTCATTTGTTTCATTCTGGTTGGCTGAGGGGTTTCCAAAGGCCTGGGGTGGAGTTGGTGGAGTAGTCCTCAAGCTAGGTACCAACCTATCGGCAAAGGAAGGGTGGGCCTGGATAGTTGTGCTTGGTCACGTGCCCTGCTCAGAAGTCGTTTGCGGGCTCATGCGAGCCTGTGGCACCCTCTGAAGATGCTTGGCAGAGTCTGGCAGAGATTGTTTTTCTGTTGCAGGCTTTGGCTGTTTAATTGCCATTCTCAAGTGGAGCCAGTGTGTACAAGTTACACTCAGCAACCAGGAAGGTACTTGCATATACTGTATATATATATACTTATATATATACTATATATATATATATATATGTATAAAAGTATCTTTTGGATTTGGGTAGGCTTCTCGCAAGTGCCGGGGCAGAATGGAACCAGACCCTTATCTTGCCCAACTCTGTCTATGTATATGTCTAATTATGATTAATTATGTGTATCTGTCTGCCTGGCTGCCTGTCTGTTTGTTTGCCTGTCTCGCTGGCCCCTTTCTGTCTGCCTGCCTCCCTACCTGTTTGTCTGTCTAACAAGTCCAATACTATGTCGTTGGGTTTGCACTTCAAGGGCCTAGGGGCTGGTTTGCTCTTTGGTCGCACAAGTTGCACTCCTAACATGCATCTCCGTCCCTTTGGGGCTCTAACTTGTGTGACCCCACCCACCCTCCATCACCATCCGTCCACCTCCATCCACCTCCATCCACATCCCATCACTGAGGCGTTTGGGGCACCGGACATGAAGCGAAGGCGACTCGAGGCGACTCGGTGCGATATACGAAGACACCAGGGTCCAAAGCACCTGGCTGAGAGCCAGGTGGATGTTTGTCCCGTCTGATGAGTTCTGGCAGCTGCCACACCGATGATGATGATGATGATGGTGATGATGATGATGAGGAGGAGGAGGAGGAGGAGGATGGCAGATCTGGGTGAGGCTTCGGTCATCGTTGGTCCATTTTTGGTATGGGGGAACCTGTCCATCTATGCTATAGGCGTGAAGGAGTCCGAACAATGTATATATGACTTAAGTTGGCCCGAATTGCTCAAAGCACAAGCCCACTTGTGTTTACATCCTTTGTCTCCTTTTTCAGTACGCGCTTGAAGCCTTCTGTCCCAAATCCCAAAGGTCGTGGGAGGTTTGACAAAACGTTGTCATTCAGAGTTGAGCTGGCAGCAAGAGTTCTGACAGGGATTTGCGTTGTGGAGAGGGCTTCCCAGAAGGGGTTGAAAAGACGTTGGACAATCATGCATTCAACTCTGGACGCCCATGAGATTGACGGTGAACATTAGAGGCCTCTGACAATGGCAGGCAGATAGATCACTGACGGTCGGGTGCAAAAACCACACTTGTGGCTACAGATAGATCACTGCCATTGCTTCGATGAGATTTTTGCCGCTTCTGGCCTCAGGAGGAGAAGGCCGAGAGCCCATATCGACAGCAAGGCTAGGCAGTCATGGTGGGTGCTTGTGGGTGGCTGTTGGATGTGTTGCCAGAGTGCGGACCATCATGAGTAGAAAGGCACACTTGGAAAAAAGCTCAACTGAATGAGCACAACTTCAGTTACTGGATCGCGGAATGCATTAGCCATTTAGCCCATTAGCCGTTGACTGCAAAACAACGAATGAGACAGCGTTGGACCGTTGGACATATGTAGGTTTTCAAACGATTTCAACATTCTTCATTGCGTGTGGTAGGATGAGAGTGCCACACGCCCCCCACCGTGAACACTTTGATTAAAGGAATTAAAATCAAACATCAAGTAGTCGCTTGACTAAGCAACTACAAGTGGTGTGAGGCCCATTGGACAAGGGGTTGACACACACACACATACAAAAAACACAGAACTGCGCTGCCTCTATATTCGGCCAATTTTGCAGAACATTTAAATGGGCTTTGGACAAACCACCTCTGGTGTTCTGATGAAGTGGGCAGTTTCAACCCTTGACTTCTTGGGGTGGAAGAAGCGCCCGTCCCTTTATTGAAGGAATGCGGCGCCTGAAGATGTGTCCACCTCATGGAGAACTGTAGGGGGTTCTGAGGGTACCAGCTCAGCTTCCTCTATCAGGCTAAATTCATCCCAGACCCACTGTGTTCCAGAGTTTCAGCGAGAAGAACAGTTGAGACAGACTGACCAAGACAATCTAAGACACATATGAAGACCATCAGTGACGACCAACCTAAAACAGCAGACTCTCATTCCGACGCTGTGGCACGCCGCTGCAGGCGAAACGGCGCTGCAAGTCGCCTCGGAGCTCATGCGGCGCCTCAGCGCCGAGGAGAACGGAAGTGGAGGGCAGGTTCCGTGGCACGGTTCTGTGGCACGGTTTTCTCTTTGTTGGTTTCAGTCGTGCTGGTACCACCCAGGGTTATAGCATTGAATGAAGCGAGCATCAACCATATTGACTGAAACAGGCCATTTCAGGATGTAGGAAGCTAGTTTCTCTAATGATACTTGGGTGTGACATGCTGATCATAGCGGCTTTGATGTGAGGAGTTGGACTTGGCTTGAGCAGAGTTGTCATGAGAAGGGCCGGTCCTGTCCACAAAAAATCCACTTGGTCAGCACCTTCCGGGCCGGAATGTTTGTGGGTGAGGAGCGCATGGATGCCTTGATTGCCGAAAGCCATCAGACCTCCAGCGGCTCGTCGCAGCCGAGAATCAATCGAAGTCTCAGCTGGTGGGCACTCTGCACTCTTGGGCTCAAGTCCATTGGTCCAAGGCATCAATCTCTTGAGGTATCATTGAAGTTCATTTGGCTAAAATTGGTTTGGTTCAGCGCCTCGTGTGTCCCCCAAAAACACCCACACCGCGGTCGCTGACTCTCCATGAGGCGGGCCTGGGCCCACGAAGCGGTCGCCCCACGCGCTGGATCCGGCGGGCCCCAAAAAGGCGCGCGAGCGATGCGCGTTGGTCCGTCCGGGTCTTCTTCCGATCGCATTAGCGGCGAGATGCGATGCAAAGTGATCCTGAGGGATCGTCAGGCGTACATGTGAGTGTGTGTACATGCATGTATATATATACACACGCCGTGCCAGAGAAATGCATGGAAAGTGAGGACTACAAAAATGGCACACACAATATGGTACGTGTGAGAGCGAACCATTTTCCGAAGACGTTCAGACATTTTTTGGAGAGCTTTGCAGTCCCTTTCCTAATGTAAGAATTTGCCACGCAATCATCCCTAACATCCCTAACCCAAAATAACAAGCTATATATTTAACCATCTCTCAAGGCCCAAGGCTAAGGGAAAGAATCTTTGATTAACTGTACAGCTGTAGGCAGGCACACCCCCCCTTCGTCACACCTGAAGGTACCCGAACGGCACACCTCTCCTGAGCTGCTGGCGCTGCCGGCGCCCCCCACGCCGAAGGTCCGAAACGGCAGGCGCGATCGGGGCGTCACCGGCGTCAGCTGGCGCGCGCAAGCCAGGCGTCCATCGGTGCGTCGGTGCGGGGGGGGCCTTGCTACTAGTAGCGATGCCCTTTGCTCCTAGTAGCGTTCTTGTTCCTAGTAGTATGGCCAGGAGCCCCGATCGTAGCGTCCTTGCTAGTAGCGATGCACTTGTTACTACTAGCGATGCCCCTGCCAGTAGCTGCACTGTTGCTTCCTCAGTCCGGAAGCTGGTGCCGTGGATGGAACATGCCCCGAGGCGCCGGCCGCAATTCGCTTCGGCCTCGGCAGCCCACACAGTGGCCAAGGCGGCCCAGGCGGAGGCGTGCGGTGGGAGTACAGTCGGACATGCATGGGCTGGGAGTACATGTGTTCAGCAACAAAACCACCAATCAAAAAGCATTGAACACCAAAAACAATACTGAGACTCTTTAAGCAAACCCGCCAAAAAAACTACCGGAATATATGTGTTTTTGGTATTTTTTTCAACGTATATATATATATATATTCATAATATACATATAATATAAATATATATGATGTTCTCGGAAGGCACAGCTCTAGCACCTCAAGCCTAAGTCTTGGAAGTCTGCACCTTAAACCTCTATATTCATACTTAATGTCCTTTTAATTCCATTTTGATTCTTGTTGACCCCCTATTAAACACGTTGATTTCCAAAAATTTCCGGTTAAGAACCTTTTGATTCCAAGTGATTTTCTTATACATTCCTTTTGAATTCCTGATTCCTGTTGACTACCTTTTTTGTATAAATCTCTAACGACAATATCCATGTGATTTCTTTTCAATTTTCTTATGGGTTTATTGCTTTCCTGTCAAATTCCTTTTGATTCCTTTTGAGTTCCTGTCAAAGTCCTTTTAATTTCTGTTGAGCTCCTTTTTTGCTTCTTTTTAACTCCTATTGATCTTTCTTTACATTCCTTAGTTACATGCTTGTAAATCGTTTTGTACATTTTTTTGATTTATTACAACTTCCACTACACAAAGGAGGTAGCGCAGCACACTCGAAGCCTAACATAATACAACTTCCTGCAATCGTGATAATAATAGCATCCCCTGAGTTAATGTCTACGGTCCATGTTTAACTATATATATACATATTGCTCCCTCAAATATTGCTTGAACTTTTGCTTTGGTATGGTTGTGTTATTATTGATACCCCCGGCAATAATGTGGATGCTTTTTTTCCTTTTTTTGAGCTCACGGTTTAGATGCCAAATTATTAATTTCCTTCTGAACTTTGATTTTATTGGTTTCCTTGCAAATTCCTTTTAGCTTGATTTATTTGCTTTTAAATTCCTTTTGATTCCAATTGGTTTCCAACAGCAATGCGCATTTTACTGTGATCTTGGGCCTATGACATAGATATATCATACGATGCTTTCAATCATCTGAATGAATG